TCACTTTCGCGCCGTCATCAGTGAATTCCATTGTGATTGACCCCTAGTCTGGTGAATTTCCGTTAGGTGTCTTGCCCCCATCTTCGCTCACACAGGTTCACGAGAGTTCGTCCCCCTCCCTCATCCTTTAACTACCAGACCTCCGATTGAGCCTTTGGACATAATTTATCAAAAATGCGTCGCCGCGGTTGTGCCTGGAACTGGTTCGCTGTGCGGTCACGCAAGTTCCAAATTATGATTGGGCAAGGCAATTGCAGGTCAACAAGGCAGTTGACCGTTCACGTACAGCGCTTACGCACTTGGTGGAGAAGGCCAAAATTCTTTTTTTTTCTTGCTTTTACCTCATGCAGAACGGGCTTTCACTTATGAGCATTTCGTGCTATTTCACTGTTCTGCCCCCCCCTCCCCCCCAGTAAATTGAAGGACTCACCTGCGCTTATTGGCTGGATGAGTCGTACAAAAGTAGTTATGGCAAAATCTGCCACGGTGCGGTTTAGAAAGTGTTACTCGATAAATCTGCAGACCGGCAAGTCCAAAGTAACCTCTGAATCGATAGTCTAGGTAACAACAACGAAATCTGTTGACGCAAAGGCTCTGGGAAGTTTTGCTTTCCTGTTTTGAGCCTAAAGCTAATTCAAGTATGTGAACCAAATTCGCAGCTACGTTCGCATAGGCCAACCCTAGCACCTGACTCCAAGCAACCAGAAGAAAAATATACTCCTAGTGCTCTTTTACTTACTTGGGTCGATTTTGGAGGCATGACGAGGTAAACACATTTTAGGGAGTTTTTGACGCACTCAGGCTCAACGCAAAGCCACAACAAAAGCTGGATGATCTGTAGTTACGAACCAAAAATTCCCGCTATATTAATGTTGGAATCATAGTGGTGATTAGATCACCACTATAGGGAGAAAACTCGGGCGAGTACTATTTGCACACCGGAGAGTTTATTTCCATTACAAAAAGTAAAAGTAAAGTAAAGTAAAGTCATCCAATGTGCTACGAACATCAAATAAACGATTGCACACGGCTTTTAGTGTGCAAATTCCGTTTAAGGCATTTTTGAAAGTGAGAGCCCTTGAACGTGATTCATAACGGTTGGATTTACTGGGATTTTTCTTTTGATTTTCTATAATTCACACAACTAACAAAGGATCTTTACTCCTTTCACTGCCTACTGCAGCAAGTATTTTGGTTTAAGTTGAAGTTATGACAGCTATCGGTAACCAAATGAGCACTTCTGATGATCTTGGCACAGCTTATTTCTAGCTGAAAGGTATCATCGCCTTCTGTGTCCCATTCTAAACGTTCCTGTTAAGATGCCAGTGTTCAACCTCGACGTTATGGAGTCATTGGTACTTTTTACCCGAACCAACTCTGTTGACTTAATGCATGGACAGTTGGAAAACCCGTACGTTGATAGAGGTGAAAAGGGGAGTTGCAGGAGGCAGTTCAGAGGCAGAAGATTGCAAGCATAGGAACAAGAAGTTTATTGGTCTAAGATTTCGACTTTTCACCCGAGCACATCATCTGAGGCAGTTACAAATAATTTTAGCAGACGCATAAATGGGGTCCAGTATTCATAACATTTAGTTGCCCTGAGACTACATGCGTACTAAAAGTAGCAGCTTTCGCGATCACCGCCGAAGATCGTAGTTGAAACGATGAGTGCTTGTAATTTTTACTTTCTAAGGGAGGAAAAGACTTAAACGGGAAATTACGTTATCTAGCCTGGCAGTGAGGTTTCCTATTTTTTTCCATTATTTGAACACCTTTTCTTGCCTCAGACTTCCCGACCTTGCTTTTGCCTACGTAGGAATGCGCCACAGGACCAGGCTCTGGGGCTGTGCCCTCTGCCTCTCAAATGGAGCGTGCCGACACCTTTTCCTCCTTTTCGGACAACTCTGGCGAGGGCAGTGAGAGTATGTGTAAGTTA